CAAAGTAAGGATGAATACTTTATGGAGTCGGGTGACAAAGTCAGATACTTTTTTGAAGATGGTGCTGTTGGTGAGAAGGGTGAACTATTGGTAGATCCTACAGTGGCCTTAAACAAAGTGGGTCATGCTTTGCATGTTGAACATCCCGTCTTCAATAAGATCAGCTTTAGTAATCGTGTTAAGGAGATTTGCTGGCAATTGAACTTCAATCGTCCGGCCATTTGCCAAAGCATGTACATTTATAAAAATCCCAGTATTGGTGGTGAAGTTATACCCCATCAGGATTCCTGGTTTTTATATACCGAACCTAACTCGGCTATAGGATTTTGGATTGCCTTGGAGGATTGCACACTACAAAATGGATGTTTGCAATTCATTAAAGGTTCTCACAAGAGTGGTGTTCACCGCAGATACATTCGTAATCCCGATAAAAACTCCAAGGAATTAATGATTTTTGATAGTGCTGCTCCATTTTATCCACAATCTAGTTTCACTCCCATACAATGTAGTAAAGGTATTTATTTTTATTTCTTAAAACCTTAAACAGCTATTATAACTCCCTTTCTCTTTTCCAGGCACCTGTATTATCATTCATGGCAATGTTGTCCATAAGAGCGAACCCAATCGTTCTAATAAAAGCCGTCATGCTTATACTTTCCATGTTATAGAGACTGAAAATAATGTTAAATATTCGGAAGACAATTGGTTGCAGGCACCTAAAGACAAACCCTTCCCCGTTTTATTTGAAAGAAAGAACTGATTTCATTAAAATATATATGTATGTATGTTTTTTTTCGTGTGTATGTATAATAAAACCTTTAATTTTTTTGTAGCTCTATGCTAGTTAGTCTTATATTGTTTAAGAATCAAATGTATTAATGCAATAAATGTATTTTAAATAAATTCTAATAAATGTGTTAATTTTTTGTTTATAAGAGGGCATTATTAAGAAAATATTTTACAATATGTATTAGGGTGATCGATTATTCGACATTTTCCAAAAACCGGTTTTCGAATAGTTCGAATAGTTGACATTTAAAAAAAACCGGTTGATATTTTTCAAATTCAGAAAAAACCGGTTAACCGGTTTTTCATTATAATTAAAAAAATATATTTTAATTTGAAAAACTTAATGTTTATGTTTAAATTTGATTAATAAAACATGGCCCGAAATGATTTTTAACAGTTTAAAAGATTATAACTTTAGATCTAGTCGTCTGATTTACATTATTTCTTTAATATAAAAAATTAGGAAAAAGTGGGACACTTCTGTTAAACATAAGGTACTATGTAATCCTAGCTTATTTTAAAAGCCCTGTTTAGGAAATTTGCATAGGCATTCCAACACTTCCATAAAATTTCAGCCGTAAATTAATTATTGTAATAGGAATATAATCTTAAGATTGCTAAACAGTTATCAATTTTACAAATAAATTTTTTTTAATTTATTAGGAAAATCAAAAAAGTTTAACCAAAAGAGCTGTAGAAAAATGTACTCTAGTTCCTCGACTCGAATATTTTTAAAATTTAGACGGGCTGTATTATTATTTACTTAAAAATTTCATTTAAATAATCTTTGAATACAAAGCAAATAAAAGTATTTGAAACCGGGTTTTAAAAAGTGAAAAAACCGGGTTATTCGATATTCGAAAAATCAACATTAAGAAAAAACCGACACTGGTAAAGCAGAAAAAACCGGTTTTAAAACCGGTTGAAAAATCGAGTCGATCACCCTAATATGTATACAATACATCATAGAAAATTTGTATAACTTTTATTGGTGTATTTCAATGTTATCTAAAATATATGTTTCAAAAAAGTCTGATTATCGCAATACAAATTTAGTTTTTGTAAATTTACGCTTCTTCCTTTCGATTAAGATATCTTGAAGAAGGAAGAAAATATAACAGAGCTTAAATCGATATTTTGAAGTCGACAGATTAAACTTTCAGATGACATACATATTTTATAAATAAAGGTTTCTTGGCGTCTCAAATATGGACAAAACGGTTTTTTTTTTATTTGTATGACAGAATATCCGGAAAACCTGATGTAAAAGTAAACTTTATGAAAGGATTGAGCAGCTCTGAATCCCAATAATTATAATTTCTCCATCACATCAAATTTTCGAGATACCGTGTCCCTTACATCGTATATCAACTCTTGCTCTTACTTGATATCAGCGAAAAAATTAATTTTATTAACATCGTTTACCTCCATTTTTAAAATGGGTATAATTCGGACAACTTTCTTATGTATCTGTAATCACCAATAGAACAATTTTGAGTTCCAGCAATTAACAAAGATTTTTGACATTTGAGCAATACAAAATATTTGATGTTCCGATGACATCCCAGGAAGAAGTGTTTTGTAAACATAATGTTAAGTTCCCTAATTAGGTTCTCTCTGTCATCGTAGACTAAGTAGGGTTCTATAAATCGACTTTCGAATAATCGAACAATCGACTTTTTGTCGAAAAAAGTCGAAAAGTCGAAGTCGACTATTTTGTTCCAAAAAAGTCGATAACTCGACTATCGTCTATGAAAAAAGTCGAAAAGTCGACTTTGTAAATAAAAGTCGAAAAAAGTCGAAAAGTCGAAAAAAGTCGAAAAGTCGATAAGTCGAAAAAAGTCGAAGAAAGTCAAAAAAAGTCAAAAAGTCGGAAAAAGTCGAAAAAAGTCGAAAAGTCGAAAATAGTCGAAAATTTTAAAAAAAAGTGGAAAAGAGGTCAAAAACTCTAAAATAGTCGGAAAAACTCGAAAAAAGTAAAAAAATAGTCGAAATAAGTCGAAAATAGTCAAAAAGTCGTAAAAAATCGAAAAGTCGGAAAAAGTCGAAAAGTCGGAAAAAGTCGAAAAGTCGAAAAAAGTCGGAAAAAGTCGAAAAAAGTCGAAAAGTCGAAAAAAGTCGGAAAAAGTCGAAAAGTCGGAAAATTCGAAAAAAGTCGAAAAGTCGAAAAAAGTCGGAAAAAGTCGAAAAGTCGGAAAAAGTCGAAAGGTCGAAAAGTCGAAAATTTATAAAATACTAAAAGTCGAAAAGTCTAAAAGTCGACTTTTAAATAAATGAAAAAGGTCGAAAAGTCGAAAAATCGACTTTTCATATAATGGAAAAAGTCGAAAGGTCGAAAAGTCGACTTTTAACTAAATGCAAAAAGTCGAAAAGTCGACTTTTCGTTTCAACTATAGAACCCTAAGACTAAGTGCCTAGCTGATCATTTTGATAGTTTTAAACATGTTTCCAATGGATATCACTCACCATAGGAGTCATCATCGGTCTTTTATGTAGACCTAAGTTCTATTTGTATGTTCCAAATTCTATTGTATGTTTTGTAATTTGCGCGTGATTCCGGAGATATTAGGAGAGCAAATAGTATATCAAAAGTTAAATAATATTTATTAACACATAGTTAAGTTTGGAGCTATGGTAAGGATCCATGGAACCATTGTATGTATATTAGAGTACTTTTTTTTAATCATATTTAGTGGTGAAAGGAAATTAAACAACAATAATACAAAAATAGTGTTGAAAAACGTGCAAAATAATTTAGTACTTAAAAAAGCAACGTTGTGTTTTTATTATTTTCATTTGTTTTTTAATATTCTAATCAGTTCTTTTTTTTTGCAAATCAGAATTATTTTCTATTTTGTTGTTGTAACTTATCACTTTTTGTTATTTAATAAGTTGTATTATAATAAAACCATTAAAGATAATAATAGTATAACTAAAATAAAACAAAAAAATGAGCAAAAGTAAGTGGTTGTTTTGATCGGCAGCATAGATTTGTGATCAAACGGAAATTTTTGTTTGTTTTGTTAACACGCATATTCTCCCACTTCTCTCCAGTCATGCGTTTAGCCCTATTGCAACTTAAAGGTTCCAAAGATAAATTGGCCAATATAAAAAATGCTTCTGCTAAGATACGTGAAGCTGTACAAGAGCATAAACCACGTTTGATTACCTTACCCGAATGTTTCAATTGTCCCTATGGCACTAAATATTTCCGTGAATATGCTGAAACAATACCAAACGGTGAAACCTCGCAGCAATTATCGCAATTGGCCAAGGAATTGGGTGTGTATATAGTTGGTGGCACTATACCAGAAATGGGTGAAAACGATAAAATCTACAATACCTGCACCATTTGGTCACCGGAGGGTAAATTATTGGCTAAACATCGTAAAATGCATTTATTCGATATTGATGTTAAGGGTGGCATACGTTTCAAAGAGTCTGAAACATTGTCTCCTGGACAGGAGTTTACTATTATCGAGGTTGATGGTCATAAGATAGGCATTGGTATTTGTTATGATATACGTTTTGAGGAAATGGCTAAAATTTATAGAAAAGCTGGTAAGTTATTGAAAAAACATGCTAATTATGTTTTATTAAAAAAATCCTTTACAGGCTGTGAAATGTTGATTTATCCTGCTGCATTTAATATGACCACCGGGCCTTTACATTGGGAATTATTGCAACGTTCTAGAGCTAATGATAACCAATTGTATGTTGTTACCACTTCACCTGCCCGTGATGAGACAGCCGAATATGTAGCTTATGGTCACTCCATGGTAATTGATCCTTGGGCTAAAGTCCTTAAGAGTGCTAAGGAAGGAGAAGAAACTGTGATTGCCGATATTGGTAAGTTATGAAATATTTTTTAGGAAGAGTCCCTACAAGAAATTAATTACAGAAACTAGCTATATGTATATTTCAATTTGTAGTATCAGTCAAATGACTGCATATGTTATTTTAGTGGTATGAGGGAAAATGTTAGAAATTTCAAAAAACAGAAGAAACAATCATTTAGTCGTTCTTAATGATGTTTTATTTCTTATTTGTTTAAAACTTAAAATGTTTTATTTTCAGATTTCTCTGTGGTCGAAAAAGTACGTGAACAAATTCCCGTATTCTCCCAAAGACGTCTAGAACTGTATGAGACTCTTAAGAAATGCTAAAACGTAAATGATGTGAAATAAATGTTAACGATTAAATCTAAGAACTACTGCACATATTTTTGTTTATTATAATAATTATTGCTTTATTTTGAAAACTATAATTAGGGAATATAAAATATTACAGATGGGTAAAATTATACATACAATATAATAATAGTTGTTATAAAATAAAATAGGTTTCTAATTTTCCTTTAAAGTTGAATTAACATTTTCCAATTCAGTGGCTGAAGTGGAAGTGGTTGACACTTGTGAGGCATAGGGTCTTTGAGCCTGGCCAAACAAAGCCTTAATAGCTTCATCAGTTGCCATTAAAGGTTGACTAATGAATTCTAAAGCTTGTACAGCATATTTTTCAGAATCACAGAGTGGTGATGTCGAAGCAGAAGATATGCTAATATCACCATCCGGCATACCTACACCCGAATGCAAAACCATTTGTTGTAGTATATTTAAATTCTCGGCGGCTAATGTTACAACATCGGTAGCTGGTAGATTTAAGTAACGTATTTTTGCCAAAAATTTCAAATTTTTCAACATGTCTAACTGCATCTGTCGTAATTGGTGTGTGGTGTGCAATAGTCTTTTCGTGGATTCATTAAGCATTTGATTTTTTTGTGTTAGATCTGCTTTCCAGCGAGCTAATTCCTCTACCATAACACTGCTGGCTAAGAATTTTGAACGCCAGACTTCACACTGTCCCGCCAAAAACTCAATTTGTTCAGTGTGGGTAGTTAAATTGTTGGCAGTATCGAGTAAAGCTCTTGCCAATTGTAATTTATCCTCGGTTAGTACATTTACTCGTGTAAGCAAATCTTCTCCCACGGAGGCTACTAGTAAATTCTTAAGTTCTGCATTAACTTGTGTTTGAAATTTAAATTGTCCTTGAAAGTAGTCACGTTCTACTTTAACTTTTCTTAATTCTTCTCTTAAATTAGCCAATTCTTGATTATTTTGCCTAACATCCTCCTCACTCTTTGTTTTAGTTTCATTTGTTTTATTATCTACCGACACGTCCTGTAACTCTTGTGTTCTTAGGGAGGACATTTGGTTCACTAATATACCAATATCTAAATTATTACGATTAGATTTTGTTGTCATTGTTGTTCTAGGTGTCGCCGTACCACTTTTCTGTTTTGGCACTATGGGATTTACAGCTCCTGTATATGGTTCATAGGGTATAAACTTGGGCGGTTTATTCTTTTTATGTTCTGGCAAAATATTAATGGGATCTACTAAACGTGGTTTCATCATTATTAATTCACCTTTTGGTACCACAGGCTTTAAACTACGTGTAATGCATTCCGGCCGTCGATATAATGTATGTAAACCAGGCAATGGTAGTCCTTGATTTGTTTTGTTTGACCCAGCGCTATTAGATGTTTTTCTAGTAGGCTGTTGCTTGCTCTGTTCTGCTTCGCTCAATGATTCCTTATTGTTCTGAAAACTTTGCTTTGTATCCTCAATGACGATCTTACTTGTGTCTCGTTGTGGTATTTGTGTTTGATCTACTTTCTCTTGCAGATCTTCTTGTTCCATACCATCACCACTTGTACGGCCTAGTTTTAACAATAATGTTAATATTCTTTCAATTTAAACGATATATTTCGCACTTACATCTTTCCAATTCCATTAATGCCACCTCCATTTGTTAAAAATGATATATATTTGCGTTGCAAAGTAAAAATAATATAGATTATTACAATAAATAAATTAAAAACTGGGTAATATTGTCGTGTACAAAAAATGACAACAGTTTAGTTGAATTTAATAAGGTTATACTAGAAGTTTATTTATTATTTTTTATATAGGGAGTTTGACATAATAATATACTAGGATATATTTTTATTTCGTGTAGTTTGACATAACAGCTGCGATGTTGTTATCACCTAACCTAAATTCTACCTGTTAAAAAATGTATATATTTTGTAGCACCCTGTGCTTTATATTTCATAACACGAAGCTTTTGTATATATATTTTGAGAAAAAAACTCAAAACCGTTAAAAATATAATAAATAATTTATACAAAAATTTAATTCACTAAAACTGAACAAAACTTTAAATTTTATAAACAAAATTAGCAAATGTTATACATATGGGATCAACTGCACATTTTACATATGTATTTACATTAGGCTAACCCAAAAATTGGGGTTTCTGATGTTTGCACCGAAAATTCTAATCTAGTTTATCCTTTGATCCAGCTAGCGACTTTTCAGAACTTTTTCGTTCTACAAAGGTACTTTTTGAGTTTTCTATAAAATTTAACCTAGAAACATGAAATTAAGCAAGTAGAGTCCGGAGTAAATGAGAATCTATAAAATGGGACTTATTGGTACTTTATCGTACTTCGGCTGGTACTTTTTTGACTTAGAACTTAGAAACATGTAATTAAGAACTTGAGAATCTATAAAAGTGGACTTTTTGGTACTTTTTCGTTCTTCATTTTCTATAATATTAAACCTAGAAACATGAAAGCATGTAGAGCCCCGATTAAGTGAGAACCTATAAAAGGGGACTTTTTGGTTCTTCAAAAGGTACATTTTAAGTTTTTGTATAATAATGAACCTAGAAACGTGAAATTAAGCATGTAGAGCCCGGATTAAGTGAGGTCCTATAAAAGGGGACTTTTTGGTACTTTTTCGTTCTTCAAAAGGTACTTTTTGAGTTTTCTATTAAATTGAACATAGAAACATGAAATTATGCACGTAGAGCCCGGAGTAAATGAGAATCTATAAAATGGCACTTTTTGGTACTTTTTCGTTCTTTGACTGGTACTTTTTGAGCTTGCTACAAAATTTGAACCTAGATATATGAAATTAAGCACTTAGAGCCTGGAGTAAATGAGAATCTATAAAAGAGGAACTTTGTCGTACTTCGACTGGTACTTTTTGAGTTTTCCATAAAATTAAACCTAGAAACATAAAAATAAACATGTAGAGCATGTACTTTTTAGTACTTTTTCGTTCTTCGACTAGTATTTTTTTAATTTTTTATAATTTTGAACCTAGAAACATGAAATTAGGAATGTACAGCCCGGATTAAGCGATAACATATATAAAAGGGGACTTTTTGAATTTTTTTTATAATATTGCACCTAGAAACATGATATTAGGAATGTACAGCCCGGATTAAGTGATAACATATAAAAGGGGACTTTTTGGTAATTTTCGTTCTTCAAAAGGTATTTTTTGAATTTTCTATAATATTGAACCTATAGACATGAATAATATAAACATGTAGGGCCTGGAGTAAGTGAGAACATATAAAACTTGCAAGAAGATTTGCTAAAAGAGCTGGTGATGAGTTTGCTTTATATTAAAAACAATGCAATATCCACATTGTTAAAACGAAACTTGTCAAAGTGGAAATATTTCCAGCATTACCTTCTTCTGTCTGGTCGACTGACGGATTGAATTTCCACGCAAACTAGACTATTCAAAACACAGAATAGACTAAAATTCAGCCTTTAGTACAGACTATATTCCTGAATACAGACAAGACTATTGTCCAGACTACAGACTAAACTTTAGTCCAGACTATGCTATAGTGCAGACTTAGACTAAAATATAGTCCAAATTATAAACTAGAACAGCATATAGAATAGAATATAGTCTAGTCTACAGGCTAAACTTAAGTTTAGTCTATGCACTAAGCTATAGTACAGACTGCAGACTAGACTATAGTCCAGACTATAGACTAAACTATAGTCTACTTTTGTATGAATATAAATATTTAAGACAAACTTTGATGGACTGGAAAGCTTTTAGAGTTACGAACCTCAAATACTTTAATAATTGGAAGAAATGGGTAGTATACCGAAGCACATCGGACATAGCTTACTATAAATAAACATTATTAAGCAATAAACATATATAGAATAGTGTGATTTCATTATACGTTTATAGCAGAAAATAATAGCCGTAGTTTAGTCAATAGTCAAGTCTGTAGTTAAGCTTTATGCTACAGTGCAAAATAATATAATAAATTCATTATTGTAATAAAAATAATTTGAAAAATGTCTTATTTAGATCAGTGTGTTGTCGTTATATATATATATATATATATATATATATATACAGCTGCGTTCAAAAAAATAGGAGTGAGACTTAAAAATAATTGTGCAGCTTAATTTAAATAGGAAAAATTTATAGAAATCCAATATTTTTTCACTATATTTGTTTGTTAAGTGTTTAAAATACAAAACAAATGAAATTTTTTATATAGGTTCATTAGTTTTTTTGGTATTCACTTTTTTCGAAATCCATATCCGTTTACGACTGTTCAAAAAAATAGGAGTACCGTATATTATCTAACCTAAGTTAGATTAATTTTCTTTATTCGTAGTTAATATTAAAAATATAATATAAAACTGTTATATTTAGATGATTTTGAGCTCATTTCACAATTCTTTCATTAAAAATCCTGAAAGAAAATGTCAGAATTGACGAAAATAAAATCTGTTCAAATATCTTGAAAATTATAAAAATATCGCGAAAAAAATATGACAATTCTCATGGTAATTTCATTAAAAGATTTTTTGAATACTTTAGGAAGTCAAATGTTTTAAAATCTCTCATAAAAAATGTACATTTTATTCAAAAATGATAAGAGCTTTCCATAAGCGCTTATCATTTTTTTAAAATTAATCCCATTAGAACGCCCCGAATTAGTGAAACTAAGTCAAATTGTAGTTATTAAACATCGTGATCAATATTCAGTTAGTTCAGATCAATTTTTAAACAAATCTTTTTTGAAAAAACTTAATTTCAGACCATAAAGCATATAGTGAAACCCATAAAGTTTGCCAAGTAACACATTTAGAGGTGGTTTCATAAATGGATGAGTTTTTAATGCATGAATACGGCAACAAATTACATTTTTAAATCTAAATGAATTCAGAAAATATATTAGAAGTCCATTAATCAAAAAATATTAAGCTTCAATTAATCAAAAAATATTAAGCTTCAATTACAAAATTTGAACCTAGATATATGAAATTAAGCACTTAGAGCCTGGAGTAAATGAGAATCTATAAAAGAGGAACTTTGTCGTACTTCGACTGGTACTTTTTGAGTTTTCCATAAAATTAAACCTAGAAACATAAAAATAAACATGTAGAGCATGTACTTTTTAGTACTTTTTCGTTCTTCGACTAGTATTTTTTGAATTTTTTATAATTTTGAACCTAGAAACATGAAATTAGGAATGTACAGCCCGGATTAAGCGATAACATATATAAAAGGGGACTTTTTGAATTTTTTTTATAATATTGCACCTAGAAACATGATATTAGGAATGTACAGCCCGGATTAAGTGATAACATATAAAAGGGGACTTTTTGGTAATTTTCGTTCTTCAAAAGGTATTTTTTGAATTTTCTATAATATTGAACCTATAGACATGAATAATATAAACATGTAGGGCCTGGAGTAAGTGAGAACATATAAAACTTGCAAGAAGATTTGCTAAAAGAGCTGGTGATGAGTTTGCTTTATATTAAAAACAATGCAATATCCACATTGTTAAAACGAAACTTGTCAAAGTGGAAATATTTCCAGCATTACCTTCTTCTGTCTGGTCGACTGACGGATTGAATTTCCACGCAAACTAGACTATTCAAAACACAGAATAGACTAAAATTCAGCCTTTAGTACAGACTATATTCCTGAATACAGACAAGACTATTGTCCAGACTACAGACTAAACTTTAGTCCAGACTATGCTATAGTGCAGACTTAGACTAAAATATAGTCCAAATTATAAACTAGAACAGCATATAGAATAGAATATAGTCTAGTCTACAGGCTAAACTTAAGTTTAGTCTATGCACTAAGCTATAGTACAGACTGCAGACTAGACTATAGTCCAGACTATAGACTAAACTATAGTCTACTTTTGTATGAATATAAATATTTAAGACAAACTTTGATGGACTGGAAAGCTTTTAGAGTTACGAACCTCAAATACTTTAATAATTGGAAGAAATGGGTAGTCTACCGAAACACATCGGACATAGCTTACTATAAATAAACATTATTAAGCAATAAACATATATAGAATAGTGTGATTTCATTATACGTTTATAGCAGAAAATAATAGCCGTAGTTTAGTCAATAGTCAAGTCTGTAGTTAAGCTTTATGCTACAGTGCAAAATAATATAATAAATTCATTATTGTAATGAAAATAATTTGAAAAATGTCTTATTTAGATCAGTGTGTTGTCGTTATATATATATATATATATATATATACAAATCTTTACAAAAATGACTTTTGTTGTACTGCCACACATTAATTAATAATATTTTAGATGAAAGCCCTTTCGTTTTTGTTTTTATTTTAAAAATAGTTGAACTTAAATCGAATACTCCTATTATTTTGAACAATAGATTTTGTATATAAATTTTAAAAAATAAATATTTTTGTATATAAATGTTTAAAATATTTGAAATAACGATTATAAAAACTAGAGAACAAGTTAAATAAATAAATTATAAAAAGATTTAATTAAAAATCTAAATCTTTCACTAAAAATTTTTTTTTTTTTAATTTTTCACTCCTATTATTTTGAACGCAACTGTATATATATATATATATATATATATAATTTTTTTTTTTTAATTTTTCACTCCTATTATTTTGAACGCAACTGTATATATATATATATATATATATAAAATAATAATAATAAATAAAATCTTTACAAAAATGACTTTTGTTGTACTGCCACACATAAATTAATAATATTTTAGATGAAAGCCCTTTCGTTTTTGTTTTTATTTTAAAATAGTTGAACTTAAATCGAATACTCCTATTATTTTGAACAATAGATTTTGTATATAAATTTTAAAAAATAAATATTTTTGTATATAAATGTTTAAAATATTTGAAATAACGATTATAAAAACTAGAGAACAAGTTAAATAAATAAATTATAAAAAGATTTAATTAAAAATCTAAATCTTTCACTAAAAAATTTAAATTCGAAATTTTTCAATTTTTCACTCCTATTATTTTGAACGCAAATGTATATATATATATATATATATATATGTATGTATATATATATATATATATATATATATATAGATATATATATATATATATATATATATATATATATATATATATATATATATATATATATATATATCTATATATAGATATATATATATATATATATATATATATATATATATATATATATATATATATATATATATATATATATATATGTATATATACCTATGTTTTTGTTTATTTGAAACGAAATAAAATTTTAATAATAAACAAGTAAGAGTGCTATATTCGGCTGTGCCGAACCTTATATACCCTTCACCATAGTGTATTTAAAAATATAAATTGTATAACACTTAAATTTATGTACCTACAAAGTATATTAATAAAGTAGCGACATCTCTTGTTGTACAACAACATCTACAACAACCACATATATTTTGTTTTTGGAATAATTTAAGATTGTGTCAAAATAAAATTTCCTTGAACAACAATGTGAACAAAACATAAATAAAAAATATTACTTTTAAGTTAAAGATATTAACGATTTAATTATATTATTATATATTATACAATTTATTACACTTTTAAACTACTTTAAAACCACTTTTAATTCACTTTTTCAACTTTTCACAAATTTTAACAAATAGCAAAACACAATTTAAAAATGGCGACGTAAACAATGTTAACAATTTTCAAAACAAACTTTGACAACTTGCTTCATTTATCTAGTTTAAAAAAAATAGTCAGCTGTTCAAGTGATGCTACTTTATTAATTTACTTTGATTATAGATAGCGGAGTCGATTAAGCCATGTCCGTCTGTCTGTCTGTTGAAATCAGCTTTCTGAAGACCCCAGATATCTTCGGGATCCAAATCTTCAATAATTCTATCAGACATGCTTTCCTTTTTAAAATCAGCAAAATCCGTCTATAAACAACGGAGATATAAGCAAAAATCCGAGACAACCTCTGAAAATTTCATGAAAAATAAGCAACAACAACACTGCTTATTGTATTTTGTTTTTCACCTTCGTGAGAAGGGTATATACATATAAGTTTGTCATTTCGTTTGTAATTTCCAAAATATAATTTTCCGACCCTATAAAGTATATATATTCTGAATCCTTATAGATAGCGGAGTCGATTAAGCCACGTCCGTCTGTCTGTCTGTCCGTCTGTCTGTCTGTTGAAATCAGTTTTCTGAAGACCCCAGATATCTTCGGGATCCAAATCTTCAATAATTCTATCAGACATGCTTTCGAGAAGTTTCCTATTTAAAATCAGCAAGAGACAACTTCTGAAAATTTCATAAAAAATAAGCAACAATAACAGCCCAAATATGTGGCATTTCATTCACAAACAAATTTAGTACGTTAAATTGTTCAAAATTTGTCTATAAATTTAATATATTTTAAAAGAAAATTTAGACGTAACCGACGCCTGCTGTTACAAAATTCATAAACAGAAAATTAATGTGTACTTACGTCTTTTTTCTTTTTCTTGTAAAGTTGAATCTGTTGGATATATACCTACGAAATTTTCAGAGAGATGATGCTAATAGACCTTAATTATCGATTTCTATAAAAAAAAACTAAAATCGAAAATCATGTCGCTTACGTCCATTTTGCAAAAAAGGCTCGATATCAATCGAAATCTCTATAGGCCATAATTGATCCTACCCCCTTTCAATAATTGATTTTAACGTTTTCTACGTACTTAATAATACCATAATAAAACAATTTATGTTGGAACGAAAATATGTCTACCAAATTTTATGACGATCGAAGCATAATTCACCCTAAACCCATATGAAATTTTCTTCAGAAAATGACTTAAACGCACATAAATGTCGATGTCGACGAAAAACACATTTTTAGGAACCGAAACCTACATTTATGAAAAAAAAAATTATGAGGATCGGTCCACTAATGTAACCCTTTTACAGAAAATCAGTTTATAGCTAATACATCATTCCAAAATTTATCATTATGATAGAATTATGGTAGAATTAAAAAAAAAATACTTTAAATTATAGAGAACTTGGTCCATAATTGACCCAATTCCACATTTAAGTCCCTAATCCGAAAATCACGCTGACGTTCTTATTAATCTAATGGTCAAAGTCCATATATATATGTATATGACCACTTCTTCAAATTTTGCACGAAGCACTTTAATATTCTTCTGAACATTTTGGAGAAAACAGGGCGGACTGGAGCTCCCATATGAATTAAATAGAAAAATTCGTATATCTGAGAAACCATTAGAGCTAGAATCTTCAAATTTTACTGAAGAACATTTAGAGAAAAACGGGCGGACTTTCAATGGGGGGATTGGCACTTCCCATATGAATTAAATACAAAATTTTGTATATCTGGAAACTATTAGATTATTCAAAATTTTCATAGATTAAATTAAAATCTTAATTAACGTTCGGAATAATTGGCGAAATTGCAATAATTTGCGTGGAATCTCCCATATGTATCAAATTGTATATCTGGAAAACCATTGTAGTTAGAATCATCAAAATCGTTAAGTGGGTTTCTTATTTTTATTGCTTTTAGGGTAGCACAGCACACTGGGTATAGCTAGTAAATAAACAAATAAAATATCTTTGTTTTTACGTTATTGATCATTTTCTTAATGCAAAATTTTTTAGAAACTGATTTTCTGCAAGATGTTTTATATGGAAGATAGGGTTAAATATCGGCAGATCCTAGTAAAACTTGGAGAAAGGATTTGTTTTTAATTTTTAAGAATTTTTTATTCATCCATGCATAATTTCTCATGCAACTAAAAAAAAACTAAACGTAGTTGAAAACTTAGCCGGCTTACAGTCGATTTTAAGCCGCCGCCGACATATTTAGTGTCAGTCGCCGCCGCCGTTAATATTTGTCGGCGCAGGGCTCTGACGTATTGTCGGAAAATTTTTCATTTTTGTTTAGCTCTGGTGTAAATAAAATTAATATAATTATAAAATAAACAAGAAACTATTTATTATCTACAAGAACTTAAAACAAGTTTAAGTGAAAACGACTATAATGTTTAAAATTTAATAAAATAAAAATAAATTTAATCAATGAAAAAATACACCCCCCACAAATAACTACAACAACTACGATTGTTTAGCAACAATAAAAAACAATATTATAAATAACAACAAAACAATAATAATTAGGAGGAGTTGGTGGTGTGGCAAAATCTGTTTTGCAAATAAAAAACATCAACAGCTAATAAAGAGTCAACTTGACGCCAGATTTTGTTGCTGCTGAGCTTTTTGCCATACGATTATGACGGCAAAGACCACTTCAAATGCAAAAATAGAAATCAATAAAAGAATCGATTTACACGAAAAAGAAAAAATTGAATTAATTGAACCCACCACGGGTAAATTATATTTTGAACATAAAACGGAGTTGATCTTCTGTAAACCCCATTTGATGCCCTTGAAATCTCAAGCGCTGGAGCGTTTGGAAGAAATGCAACGTGATACCGCAAAACAATTGCAAGAAAAACGTTTACGGGGCAGTTACACCACTAAAAAGAACTAAAAAAAAATATTTACAGTAGCAGCAACAACAAAAACGCCAGCAACAAGCACCCTTTGCACCTCACTCTACATAGGAATTAAATAAAAAACAACAATTAGAAATATTTTGCAAAAATGGCTTATTTACTTCCTTTGTCCATATGTTTGGCCTTATGTTTAGCTGGTTTCTCACTCTACCGTTACGGCAACATACCCAGACAGCATATAATTGTAACCCTTTCCGTTCTAACGGCCTGGTGTTTTTCATTTTTAATCGTATTTACTATACCTCTAGATGTAACATCGGTAAGTTATCAAACTATATTATAAAAGATGATTCATATTACACATGTCCATTGTTCTTCTTTACAGACTCTTTATCGTCAATGCTTGCAAGAGCATAATAAAACTTCATTAACTACTGCTCCCTTATCGGCGGCATCTTCATCGCTAAACACATCGAATGATTCATCTGAGGTTGTCAGTTCTTTACGTATACATTCCGAGTGTCAACAACCTTGGGGTATGATACCAGAGGCTGTCTTTCCTAATTTATGGCGTATTATCTATTGGACTTCACAATTTCTAACATGGTTGATTATGCCTCTAATGCAGTCATATCTCAAAGCGGGCGACTTTACCATTAAGGGGAAATTAAAGTCTGCCTTGATTGAGAATGCCATTTATTATGGTTCTTATTTATTTATTTGTGGCATTTTACTAATTTATATAGCAGCTAAAGGTGTTTCTTTAGATTGGCAAAAGCTAAAAGCCATCGCATCTTCGGCTTCAAATACTTGGGGTTTATTTTTGCTTGTACTTCTGTTGGGTAAGTAAGAAGAGTTAAAAAACGCCTTTAACCCATCAATCCTTTATAGAAATTTTTTGTCTGAAGTTCAGACTCAGAACGACAATTCTTCTACCGAAAACTTTTGTTTAAATGATAACATTTCTACAGATAACATCTTTTCATTTACCTTTTTTTACCCAGCAAAAAAAAAAAGTGTGGAAAAAGATGTAGAATTTTCATCACAACCCAGCAAAAAAAGTGTGGAAAAAGATGTAGAATTTTCATCACAACTAGTAACCCGAAGTGCTTCAAATTCGGGTGTAAAACCTATGAATTTTACATTAGCGTGTCATTGGAGGGATGTTGTTCATTTTTGGCAGCTTTGAACTACATCTGATCTTATTTTTAGAAGCAGTAAAAATCCGATATTTGGATGTCAAAAATAAAACACATTCTCTTAATGACACGCTTATGTAAATTTCACTACTCTTTCACCAAATCTTGATGTACTTCAAATATGTTATTTGTAATGACTTTTCCACATCTCTTTCCTCACTTTTAACTGGGGTTTCATTTGTAAGGAAATATTTGGTTTATAAAAGTAAAAAATATGAAATCGCATTTTAAGATGTGATTAAGATGTGGTTTGTAAAGTATGACATCAATTATTTTTTGCTGGGAACTAGTAACCAGAAGTGCTTCAAATTCAGGTGAAAAACCTATGAATTTTACATTAGCGTCCCAGCAAAAAAAGACGTGCAAAAAAAGTAGTAAATGCATGGGTTGAACTGATAATGAACTGGTTCATATTTAGGGGAAACATGCATGATTTTAACATTAGCGTGTCATTGGCATGCATGGGTTCGTATTTGCAAAAATAGTTCGTCATTTAAATGAGTTCTTATAACCAATGAATATTCGATGATTCTCAAGCGAATTTTCATTGGTGCACTATATTTATTTAAAAATGCATTAATGGTACTTCGATTTAATTATCAATATTTAAATAATTTTGTTGAGTGATATTGACAAAAATAGAATAAGATAAAACATAACTAACTGATTTTGATTGGATTTAAATTCATGCAGAGGAAAAATACCCATTGTGTTTTAAAATCCGTTAAGCAGTCTTGGTTTTTTCCTTCTCTTATTAATGGACTTAATATTACTAATTTTAATGGACTTAATATTACTAATTTTAACAAAAATCTAATAAAAAAATTAATGTCATTTTTAATCTTTATTGTATGAAATGCACGTTTTCGTTAAATCTCCTAAGAGAATACCAAATTACAGTAAAATATTACAATTCCTATAGTGGAGTTACATGAGTGAATTTGGGTGCATTTTTCATGCCTTCACTGATGACAAATTTATTAGAATTTAGGCATGTATTTAAAACGCATTAAATAGAATACTTACTAAAGAAATCATGAAAATATCCCTTCTTCTTTAACAACTTCAAAATTTTTTTGCTGGGGTGTCATTGGAGGGATGTTGTTCATTTTTGACAACTTTGAACTACATCTAATCTTATCTTTAGAAGCTGTAAAAATCCGATATTTGTATGTCAAAAATAAACTACATTCTTTCAATGAAACGCTTATGTAAATTTCATTGGTTTTTCATCAAAATTTGAAGTACTTCGAATATGTTGTTTGTAGTGACTTTTCTACATCTCTTTTCTCATTTTTAACTGTGTTTTAATTTGTAAGTATATGTTTGGTTTATAAAAGCGAAAAGTATGCAATCGCATTTTTAGATGTGATTAAGATCTCGTTTGTAAGGTATGACATCAATTATTTTTTGCTGGGTAATTCTTCTTTAGATCTGTTAAAAATTTTAATTTAATATCTGCATTCTTTTCTCTTTCAGGTTATGCCCTTGTTGAAGTTCCACGTTCCCTATGGAATAACGCTAAACCAGGTTTTACCCTACAATATGCCTACTTTAAGGCAGCTAAACTAAGTGCTGAGAAAGCAGAGGCTGAAGAAAACGTTGATGATGTTTTAGAGTCTTTACAAGGCATCAGCAGGTCCGTGCCTAACAATCATGAGTTACGTCCATGTGTGGAAACAATTTTACGCAAAGTACCCATTGAGTTGCAGGAACGAGCAGCTCGTAATTATTCACGAGGAGGTAATGGTGGTGGTACATCGACAATAGTACCCTCGGAGAAGGCATTAGTTCGTATACATAGACAAGTTATTAAATCATTACAAACACTACAACGTACCGAGGCTCTCTGGAGTGTACAAGTGGAGACAGTTTTCCAATTGGAAGATGTAGCCAAAAATATGCATTCGGTGGAAAGGAGATTTAAATCGGAATTTCCCCAGCCCAGATCTCAAATGGCTAGATTGCTTTATTCTCCTACACTTCACTGGTATTGGTCGTGTGTGATACGGGCTCCCGTTTTAAAAGCCCTCTGTGTTCTGACTGCTTTTATGTCCGGCATGGTAGTATGGAGTGAATTGACATTTTTCCAACGTAGCCCGGTGCTTTCGATATTTGCCAATGTCATTATTGTAGCAAAACACAGTTATGATTTCTTTACCATCGAAGTTTTTTCCATGATAGTTTTGTGTTATCTCTTCTATTGCACCTATTCCACCATATTGCGCATACGTTTTTTAAATCTCTACTATTTGGCGCCGCATCATCAAACTAATGAGCATAGTTTAATATTTAGCGGTATGTTGTTGTGTCGCCTTACGCCGCCCATGTGCTTAAACTTTCTAGGTCTCATACACATGGATTCACACATTATTAAGGAACGTATTATGGAAACCTACTACACTCGTATCATGGGTCATATGGATGTTATAGGCATTATATCGAACGGGTTTAATATTTATTTTCCCATGTGCATGTTGGCCTTTTGCTTGGCCACATGGTTCAGTTTGGGTTCAAGGGCTTTAAATGCTTTGGGTTTCCAGCAATTCTTGCAAAATGAAACCATAGCCACTGAATTGGTACAGGAGGGCAAAGATCTAATAGCACGTGAAAGAAGACGTCGTCAAAGAGCCGAAGAAGCCATGAATCGCCGACGGGAATTTCCCAGAAGTGATGCCATGACCACTAATGATTACATAAACAAGTATCGTAATTTAAGCTCACATAATGGTCAAAGTACTTCAACGACAGCAGCGGGAATGCAACGTCCTGCAACACATATACCCTCAGATGATTTAATACGCCATGGAGATAATTTGCACTATGACACTCTACCACGTTCATTGTCGGATGAAATTAATGAACGTTTTGGTGTTAGTACACAAGCTCAAGTTGCCTTTAAAGGTTCATCGTCGGCAAATCATTATCGTTTGGAATTTGACGATGAAGAGGAAACCTCAAATCGTATTGAACCACCCCGTGGTTTATTTGATGATGTGTAATCTCTTAGGCGACCCGTATTATTTGGCTCTCTTTATCTCTTGCTCTAAACAATACAACAACTAACAAAGAAGTATTTATTATTGGTCAGTCACAAATTTACGCAAACTACTAGTTTTATAGTTATAAACAAATCTAGTTAATACATGTACTATATAATAATTATTATCTAAATTCACGCTAATTACACTCTACAATACACTGTGCACTGTAATCGGGCCTTACTTACAGATAATTTGGGAGTTTTTGTGATTGCTGCTGTGGCTTATTTCTACATATTATTGTTTTCTCTCATTGCTTTTACATAGATGTTTAATTCACTTATAATTTGCTTAAAAATTTAAGTATTGTTTTATTTTTTATTTCGTTATTTTATTTTATTTTTTTATTTTGCCATAATTTGCACATTTTAAACGTAATTTATATAGACAATAGTTTATTAAAATAAACAAAATTAGTTTTTTGTTCTCTGTATAATAAAGTCTATGTGCAAAATATTTTAAATAAAAAGGATATATCTATTAATGAAATGTTTAAATTGGAAAAAGATTTAAATATTTGTAATAAAATCATGAATAAATAGCTTTTGTGATTCCATGAGATAGATGAACGGACTTATGAATCTTAGGAGGTCTTATGAATCTTATGAGGAATGTAGATTTCTGTTTTGAACCACTGTGGTGATTATTAGAAGGTTAGTTGGTACTCGACTATGTCGTAGAAAGCAAAGAAGATCTTTATATTTCAGACTATAGTCTAGTCTTTAGTTAAGGTCATAGTGAATTATATAATTCAGACTAAAGTCCAATATAGATGAAGTTCAGACTATACTCTAGTCTATAGTCTAGACAGTCTAATAAATTTTTCAGACTATAATCTGGAGTAGTGTTTATACAGATCTAGTCTATAGTCTAGTCCAGGGGTCGGCAAACTACGGCTCGCGAGCCAAATGCGGCTCTTTGGATGTGGAGCTATGGCTCTTTAGTTTCATACGTATTTTTTTTATTTTATAAAAAAAATATATACATATATTAAAATCTTTCTGAATAGATTAACGAGCAGTGTTTGTTAAAACTAACAAAACAATTCGCATACGTTTCTACAATATACACAACATTTCAACTTTGTTTAATCCTTCTGCATGTGAGACAACTAACAAATGAAAGTTTAGAGTCGTTTGTGAAACTTTAAACAACAAGTTATGATCCAAACTTTCTAAAGCTATACAAACCTATCTCTCCTATTGAATTTGTTCCATTTACAAGTTAGTATTGTAAGAAAATGTTTAATTCTTTAAATTTTTAGTTGAAAAGTTCCCTATAAACGATGGGGTATCATGAGCGCTCCTACGAAGTGCCATTAGATAAAATGTAAAACATGATCATACATTCCGAAATTTTCGTGTTTTTCGAATTAAAAAATATTTTTTGGAAATTGAAAATATAGTAATTAAATAATTACTTAATAATGTAGAGAGTTTGGACACAGTTACCCAGGAAAAACTTACATTGAAAAGTCGTGAGTTAAAAAGCTAATAAAACCTCTTTTCACTACTTCTTCATTAGCATTTTAAGTCATTATTTTAACACGGTGATGTCATTGGAGGCAAGTACTTCTACGCACGCTTACTAATAGGAAGTTAAAAAAGTACTTGCAATTTCTCTTACAAAACAGTTGTTGAGTAAGTTGTTTTGTTTTTTAATAATAAAAAGAGCCAACTAGGATACGAACCAGGGACTTCGATTTTTTAGTCAAATGTTCTACACACTGCATAGCTATTTTATTGCGCATCAAATAATGGTTTTCACATCAAAATTAATTTTGTTTTATTTTTTGTAAAACACAATACTTAAAACGACAAAAAAAATGACAATGCCGAAAATAAAGTACTTCTATATCAGATTATAAGAAAGTTATTACTAGAATACTTCTAAGTAATGCAGACGGTAAGTAGTAGTCATTGAAAAGTAAGTGGTTATGGAAGTACAACCCATTACCGAATTTTTGGCTGGGTAAATACTAAAAACTTGTTCTATTTAAAAACTTCAATATTTAAATATTGCGCGTTTTAGAAACGTTTTACAGTGTATTATGGACCGACACATCCTTACAAAATTTGGTAATGAGATTTTGGACCCTACTTGTTTGTGTTGATTTTCATCGCTATACTTGTATTTTTCGTCGTTTTCGTGAACACTATATGGGTGGGTAGGGTCAATTCTGAATCCATCCTTATTAAATTTGGTATAGATATATTTGTTCCTATAAACTTGTTTATGACGAATTTCACCACTATGCTGGTATTATTAAGCATGTTATGAGCGTTGAAGTCATATTCATTGTCATTGTGTCGAATTGCGTCGCTATACTAATATGTATTATTAAATCAGTTATGAATGTTAAAGTTATTTTCCGAAGTAGACCTTTTTAAAGGGGATTTGTCAATTATGTTTTGTTTGTGTTGAATTTTGTCATGATATTGCTATTATTAAGACAGTTATGAACGTTAAAATCAAATTTGGAAGATAGATATTTGTTCTTATAAAACTTGTATATTTTGAATTTCGCTGCTATATTGCTACTGTTAAGTCAATTATGATCGTTAGTCATTTTCTGAAAATGACCTAATATTGGGGTTAGTAAAATATTTATCTCGATTGCCGCCAAAATAATATATTACTTTATACTGTATTAGCTGCGTCATCAATTTTCGTGATTTTTACATTTCCTGATATGTTTCCAAATGCCTTTTAAATGATAACACTGTCGCCCTACTCTAATAAACTTCTATATTTTTATATAACGAGTGCTTAAAAAATGCATTCGAATGACCCATATAAATTCAAAAAGTATTTGTAGTCAAAAATCTATATGTAAGATTCCTTGCAGAATATCCTGTAGATAATTAAACCAAGTTTATGTTTTTGAAGTGAATTCATAAAGTATTTGTAAAGTTTTAATAAACAACAATTTTGTGGCTCTTTTAAAACATATGTTTTGTAAACTGTAATTTTTGGCTCTTCCGACTCAAAAGTTTGCCGACCCCTGGTCTAGTCTTATAGTCTAGCCTATAGTCTAGCCTATAGTCTAGTCTATAGTCTAGTCTATAGTCTAGTCTATAGTCTAGTCTATAGTCTAGTCTATAGTCTAGTCTATAGTCTAGTCTATTGTCTAGTCTATAGTCTAATCTATTGTCTAGTCTATAGTCTAGTTTATAGTTTAGTCTATAGTCTAGTCTATAGTTTAGTCTAGTCTGGGCACACGACCGGTATTATTATGTGTTACAAACGAAATAAAAAAATTAATTTGACCCTAATTTTTCTGAAAGCTTTACAATTTCCATTCAAAAGCTAAAATCGATTAGTTTTGTTTTAATTCCCTTATTTCCCCATAAGTCTATAGTCTAGTTTATAGTCAAGTCTGGGATCACGACCGATATTATGTGTTACAAACGAAATATAAAAATCAATTTGCCCCTAATTTTTCTGATAACAGTTTACAATTTCCATTCAAAAGATAAAATCGATTAGTTTTGTTTTAATTCCTTTATTTCCCCATAAGCATAAACAACAATTTACTCAAAAACTTGGAAAATATCCATTATATTTTATAATGAAAGAAACAAAGTTTTACTATAAAAAATTTAAATCTGTATTTGCAAATCTCCAAAAATGCTAACTAAAAAAAACGCGCTAATACCGAACCCACTAAACTTTTTTATTTATTCGTCACCACCTCCTTCCTCATCTTCATCGAATTCACCCTCTTCATCGGCCGTGGCCTCTTGATACTGTTGATATTCCGATACCAAGTCATTCATATTACTTTCGGCCTCTGTAAATTCCATTTCATCCATACCCTCTCCGGTGTACCAATGTAAAAATGCCTTGCGACGAAACATGGCGGTAAATTGTTCAGAGACACGCTTAAAGAGTTCCTGGATAGCTGTTGAATTACCAATAAATGTCGCCGACATTTTAAGACCTCGAGGTGGTATATCACATACAGCAGTTTTACAATTGTTCGGTATCCATTCAACAAAGAAACTACTATTCTTATTTTGTATATTAAGCATCTGTTCATCGACCTCCTTCATAGACATGCGGCCACGAAATATTGCTGCCACTGTTAAATAACGGCCATGACGTGGATCACAGGCAGCCATCATATTTTTGGCATCAAACATTTGCTGAGTTAATTCAGGCACCGTTAGGGCACGATACTGCTGGGAACCACGTGAAGTTAAAGGGGCAAAACCGGGCATGAAGAAATGTAAACGAGGAAATGGCACCATATTAACGGCTAATTTTCTTAAATCTGCATTCAATTGACCCGGAAAACGTAAACATGTGGTAACGCCAGACATAGTGGCCGAAACTAAATGATTTAGATCACCATAGGTGGGAGTGGTAAGTTTTAAAGTCCGAAAGCAAATGTCATACAAAGCTTCGTTGTCTATGCAGTAGGTTTCATCGGTATTTTCCACTAATTGATGAACACTTAGGGTAGCGTTGTAAGGCTCTACCACAGTATCGGATACTTTAGGTGAGGGTACTACCGAAAAAGTATTCATAATACGATCGGGATATTCTTCACGAATTTTCGAAATCAATAAAGTACCCATACCCGATCCCGTGCCACCACCCAAAGAATGAGTTAATTGGAAACCCTAAATTAAGACAATAAAGGCCCAAATAGACTACACAAGCGGCTTGACAAACATACCAATATTTTACGTTTGTGCAAGCCTGTTGTGTAGTGTATGAGGGTGTTTCGTGTTTGTACAAATGCTTGCGGTTCGTTTGTACAAAAATTAAAAAAATTTGATTTTTACACAAACATATTGAATTTTTGTCAAACCGTTTGTATTGCTTATATTCATTAACAACAAAATTTTCACAAAATTTCCATTTCTAAGAAAAATTGACATCTGTATCTTTGCAAGTCCACAAAAACGTGAAAAAATCGGTGTTTGTACGAGCAATGTTTGTGTAGTGTGTGTGCGAATGAAAAAAGTATGTTTGATAAGCCGCTTGTGTAGTCTATTTGGGCCTTAACAGTTTTTTTTAATTTCTTGAAAATTCCCATACTAACCTGCAGGCAATCACAGCCCTCAGATTCTTTGCGCACTACATCCAAAACAGAGTCCACCAATTCGGCACCCTCGGTATAATGACCCTTAGCCCAATTATTTCCAGCCCCCGACTGGCCGAACACAAAATTATCTGGTCTAAATATTTGACCGAAAGCCCCAGATCTTACCGAATCCATGGTACCCGGCTCTAAATCAACTAAAATTGCACGCGGTACGTATTTCGCACCAGTGGCCTCATTGTAATACACATTTATACGTTCCAATTGCAAATCACTATCGCCATAATAGGTGCCCGTGGCATCAATACAATGTTCATCGGATATAACTTCCCAGAATTTACCACCAATTTGGTTACCACACTGACCCGCCTGTATATGGACAATTTCACGCATTTTTTGCTAATTTTATATGATTACGTTTATTTTGCAATAGAACCTAGTTTTTGCTGTGCGGTGAATAATTTTTCTGCTTTTTCGATCGTATAAAAATTCTCACAAAATAAATCGAAGTAAAAAATTTTCCGAGTAAAATGTCAATTTCATAGATTTTTTATAACAAATCTACTATGATTAGGGGAAGTGTATAAAATACAAGTATTTATTGGATAAAGTATTTTCGAAAAAAAAATAAGAAAATCATAAGGAATTTCAAAGATTATGTTACCTTTGCAGCTGATCTATTTTTGTACGGCCCAGATTTATTGGTATTTATCACAACCCAGCAAAAAAAATTTGAAGTTGTTAAAGAAGAAGGGATATTTTCATGATTTCTTTTGTACGTATTCTATTTAATGCGTTTTAAATACATGCCTAAATTCTAATAAATTTGTCATCAGTGAAGGCATGAAAAATGCACCCAAATTCACTCATGTAACTCCACTACCCAGCAAAAAAAGACGTGCAAAAAAAGTAGTAAATGCATGGGTTGAACTGATAATGAACTGGTTCATATTTAGGGGAAACATGCATGATTTTAACATTAGCGTGTCATTGGCATGCATGTGTTCGTATTTGGAAAAATAGTTCGCCATTTAAATGAGTTCTTATAACCAATGAATATTCGATGATTCTCAAGCGAATTTTCATTGGTGCACTATATTTATTTAAAAATGCATTAATAATGGTATTTCGATTTAATTATCAATATTTAAATATTTTTTTTGTGTGATATTGATAAAAATAAAATAAGATAAAACATAACTAACTGATTTTTATTGGATTTAAATTCATGCAGAGGAAAAATACCCATTGTGTTTTAAAATCCGTTAAACAGTCTTGGTTTTTTCCTTCTCTTATTAATGTTAAAATGGACTTAATATTACTAGGTAGGTAGGTACCTACAAAAACAAAAATCTAATAAAAAAATTAATGTAATTTTTAATATTTATTGTATGAAATGCACGTTTTCGTTAAATCTCCTAAGAGAATACCAAATTATAGTAAAATATTACAATTCCTATAGTGGAGTTACATGAGTGAATTTGGGTGCATTTTTCATGCCTTCACTGATGACAAATTTATTAGAATTTAGGCATGTATTTAAAACGCATTAAATAGAATACGTACAAAAGAAATCATGAAAATATCCCTTCTTCTTTAACAACTTCAAATTTTTTTTGCTGGGTATAGGAATTGTAATATTTTACTATAATTTGGTATTCTCTTAGGAGATTTAACGAAAACGTGCATTTCATACAATAAATATTAAAAATTACATTAATTTTTTTATTAGATTTTTGTTTTTGTAGGTACCTACCTACCTAGTAATATTAAGTCCATTTTAACATTAATAAGAGAAGGAAAAAACCAAGACTGTTTAACGGATTTTAAAACACAATGGGTATTTTTCCTCTGCATGAATTTAAATCCAATAAAAATCAGTTAGTTATGTTTTATCTTATTTTATTTTTATCAATATCACACAAAAAAATTATTTAAATATTGATAATTAAATCGAAATACCATTATTAATGCATTTTTAAATAAATATAGTGCACCAATGAAAATTCGCTTGAGAATCATCGAATATTCATTGGTTATAAGAACTCATTTAAATGGCGAACTATTTTTCCAAATACGAACACATGCATGCCAATGACACGCTAATGTTAAAATCATGCATGTTTCCCCTAAATATGAACCAGTTCATTATCAGTTCAACCCATGCATTTACTACTTTTTTTGCACGTCTTTTTTTGCTGGGAAATAATGAAATAACTGCAAATTATATTAAAAATTTCAATACAAACCGATTTCCGCTAAAACCTCAAAATGAGAACTCGCTTTTGTTTAACGAATATTAATGTTTTTATTATTTTTAAAAATTTAAATACATTACAGAAAATTCTGTATATATTTCCGGAAGAATACAATACATACATACAAACATTTATCTCAAAGTGGAGTTTTGGTTTTGTTTTGGGTTTTGGGCTTAGGGTGTACTACAGCAGGGACTATCGGATGAATATTTCAAAATTCTATAACCAATACATTCCGATGATTTCGAAGTTTCATTTTTGGCACAACAATTCAAATAACAATGGGATGACGTACGATAACAATCACATTCAGCCAAATCAGGCAAAGATTGATATCAAACTGAGGCACGCTTTAGACTAATGGTGCTGGCAATAATGTCGGTGGGACGAAAATCGGGATCAGCAAATGTTTCATGATTCATGCAGCGTGTACCACCCAAGCAGGTGCAAGAGCAAATCGATGCGGTCTCTTCAAATTCTGTCATATAATTGGAACTATTTAATAGCTTGCCATGCACATTATAGCTGTGTTCGGTATCGAAAGTAACTGGTTGATTGGCGGCAATTTGATTTTGGGCATCCTGTTCATCCCGCTTAGCATCTTCCGCTTGCCTATAAAATTACATTTTAATTTATTAAATTATTTACTAATATCACGCTAACTTACATGGTCATAAAACGCAAAACCAACAAATTAATGCTAGCAGCTACCACCGCTAAACCGAATAATATAAATACCAAACTCAAGGCCACATAACCGGGTTTATTCATGAGAGCCTGATCGTTTTGCAAAGCCACATAATCTCCAAAACCAATGGTAGTTAAAGTGACAAAACAATAATAGAAACTATCAAAATAACTCCAGCCTTCATACCGCGAAAATACCGCTGCTCCGGTAGTGATTATAATCGAAGATAACATGCCGGTGGCCAACATTAGATTCATTTCCGTGGCTTCAGTGTGAGTACATTGCATATAACGTTTAGCTTTTCTTATGATAACCGATGCAAATTTATTCAAACGTTCACCAATCGATTGGAACATAACTAAACCCAGTGGTATACCAACCTGCAAATAAAGTTTAATAATTTACATTTGCAATGCATATTTTCATATAGAAAAGTATTTGCAACATTTGTTTTTATATAGAAAATTATTTGTAACACTTGTTTTTGTATAGAAAAGTATTTGCAACGATTACTTTTCTGTAGAAAATCATTTGCAATGCAAGTTTTTACATAGATAAACATTTGCAAGCATATTTTTTATAAAAAATAAATTGCAATGCAAGATTTGACGCAGAAAAGTTTTTGCAATGTAGATTTTTATATAGAAAAACATTTGCAACGCTGTTTTTTTAATATAGAAAAGCACTTGCAACCCATGTTTTTTATACAAAAGGAATTGCAATGCAAGGTTTTGCACAGAAAAACTTTGCAATGTAAGCTTTTATATAAAAAAAAAACTTTTGCAGCGCTGTTTTTCTATAGAAAAGCATCATGTTTTCTACAGAAAAGCATTTGTAACGTATGTTTTTATATAGAAAAGCATTTGCAATGCAAGCTTATAGATAAGCATTTGTAACGCATGTTTTTCTATAGAAAACAATTTGCAACATGTGTTTTTACATATAAAAATTTATATTTTTAATTATAAATGCATTTGCAACACAAGTTTTAATATAGCAAAGTGTTTACAACGATTGTTTTTATATTGATAACCATTTGCAATACAAGTTTTTACATAGAAAATAATTTGCAACGCATATTTAATGCATGTTTTTCTATAGAAAGGCATTTTTAATGTAATTTTTTTCTATAGAAAAGTATTTGCAATGTACATTTAAACTTGCAATACAACATTTGCAACACTTGTAGAAAAGCATTAACAAGCATATTTTCCTATAGAAAATCATTTGCAATGCAAGTTTTTACAACTAGAAAACTAACTCACCATTGCATATGCCATACAAAATGCTTTACCACCAATTGTCACTGGCGTCGAGTGGCCATAACCAATCATTGCCAATACAACTGTGGCGAAATAAAAAGCACCGGCAAATTTCCACTGTGGCCCCGCCTTATGTGGTTTATTTTCAATTATAACTATTTCCATCATACGAAAATCCTCGGTAGAAACATTATACTTCTTAACAAAGTTATTTTTAACAGCTTGCAGAAAATCCCAACGTTTCGATTCGAAATCAGATTCCAAACTATCGAAGACGGCCGCACCAATTAGTAAATAGGTAAAAGTGCAAACCACCAATGAAAGCGTCCGAACATTTTGACGCTTCATGCTGCACTGGGTCACTAAATCAACAATGTAATCACGATAGGATTCAATAAGCATTCAATAGCTTTTCTTTTAATAAAAACTTTAAAACAGTATATGTTGTTGTAGTATTTTGTGTACATGGAATGGAAAAGCGTTAAATCTTAAATGCATTAATTTAATTTATTATAAAATGTATGTGGGTATTTGTTTTTAATTTAATTTTTATAAAATTTTTGTAAGCAAGTTGTTTGTTATTGCAAAAAAAATAATCAATATATCCTGGAGAGTAAGGAAATATTTTGGTTAAATGACAGTGTCATTTTATATCCTTTGACAAAAAGCGCAGAATCGTAGAAATGTCAAATTTTAAAGTTATATCAGCAACAAGCTTAGTAATAACGTTTAATTTAATTTATTTAAACATAAATATATGTATGTATATTAGAAAATATTTCACGAGTATAGTTCTTTTGAAATCAAATAAAAAAAAAACTGTTATTTTCTAACAATTTCACAAGTTCTGTCATCATTTAACCAGTGTTGCCCCGTTAAATCAAAAAATTTCCTTTTGTGCTTTCAAATTAAAGAAAAAGGACCAAAATATATCCTTACCACACCGTTATTTACATATTTCTTTAACATCCTAACGAGTAATAGTTCGTAAACGTCAAACATCGAAAAAAGGTCAGCAAACTCCTCGAAAAATCTATAAGTTGAAAAAAAAAAATTGCAAAATAAGAAAAAAGAAAAATTTAGAAGTAATTATAAATTTTGTTAATTACAAAACGTACATATTTAAATTATATTCTAGCAGCAGTTAAATAGAAAAAAACTAAATAAACATGTCACCAAATCCTCACTCACCTTTGCCACCAGCTACTATGTCATCTGGGGATTTCGGCAATCCTTTGCGTAAATTTAAACTAGTATTTCTGGGCGAACAAAGTGTTGGAAAAACTTCGCTCATTACACGCTTCATGTACGACAGCTTCGATAATACTTATCAGGCCACCATTGGTATAGATTTCCTCTCAAAGACCATGTATTTGGAAGATCGAACTGTACGCCTGCAGCTGTGGGATACGGCGGGTCAGGAACGTTTTCGTTCTTTAATCCCCTCCTACATACGGGACTCGACAGTGGCTGTCGTTGTCTATGATATCACTAATACAAATTCATTCTATCAGACTTCTAAGTGGATTGATGATGTGCGCACAGAAAGGGGTAGTGATGTCATAATTATGCTGGTGGGAAATAAAACCGATTTGGCCGATAAACGTTTGGTGTCTACCGAAGAAGGGGAACGCAAAGCCAAGGAGCTTAATGTCATGTTTATAGAGACCAGTGCCAAATCTGGCTACAATGTCAAGTTATTGTTTAGGCGTGTAGCGGCTGCTCTGCCTGGCATGGACTCTTCGTCTGATAGCAAACCATCTGAGACCATGCAAGACATACAATTGGGACAGCAGAACGAGCAAAAAGATCCCGAAGGGGGATGTGCCTGTTAAATTTTGAATTAAACATTATAAAGTTACATAAACCGGAATGTAAATTCAACAAAAAAAAAAAAACTAAATGGAATTATATTATTTTTTCTTTTCTATATTTGCTGTGATGAAGAAATATTGTATGTATTTATAAAAAATTGGATATTAAGCTTATGTATGTAAAATTAAACTTGGGATTATAGTGTTTGAAATGGAATCGGAAATATTTCTTGGGAATACAAAATAGATTTTTTATTGCATCACAATGCTTACTTAACAATTACAAATTATTAAACAAATTTGTGAACATTAAAATAATAATTAATACACACATATAAAATCCTGTAGATGTTAAAACAGTTAAAAATAATAATTGAAAAAGAAAATAGATTTTTAAGTTGTTTTAAAAAAGCTTTCAATGCATTAATAATGGAGCACGAACTACAAAAGCATGCATTACTTTTCAAATTAAAATCTAATTTAATAAAATCCAAATTATAATAAATAGCAAATTTAAATAAAATTAAAAAACATTGCGTATTATTTAGATAAGGGGTGGAGGAAATGCACAAAATTTTAAAGAAATCATCTGATTCAAGGTATATTAATTATGATTATATACATATATGTTTATGGAACAAGTAATGTTTAACTTTATTTTTTTTATTTAATTTGATCTATAAATTTTATAAATTTTTGAATTTTTTTTATTTAAAATTTGAATACTTTTAGATACATCTCAGATTTGGATAACTTTTCTATTTTTAAATTTTTTGGTATTTTTTAATAAATGTTCGATAAATTTTTAATTTTAATGAATTTTCACTAGTTTCTCTATTTTTATAAAATTTTGATAATTTTTATTTTCATAAATTTTTGAAAATTCTCTACTTTTTATAAAAATTCTCAATTTTTTTAAATTATAGATTTTTTTCTTTAATTTCTATAATGTTTTTGTTTATTTTTTGGATAAATTTTTAAATTTTAACAAAATGTCGATAAATTTCTTTAGATATTCAATTATTTTATTAAAATGTATAATTCTCTATTTTATTAATAAAATATTATTTTTGGATATTTATTATCTGTTTGTTTTTTAACTTAAAAAATTTTCTATTTATGGAAAATTTTACATTTATTTTTGTAACCAGTTTTTGTCTGTGTATTCTTAGCAACATATAACAATACCAGTGTTGAGGAACAAAGTTGCCACTTGTGTTATTGTTGATTAAGAAAAACGGGTATGTTCCCAAACCTTAACCTCATAAGAAATACACAGGTTTGTGTGTAAAATGTTTACTTATCACTAAACATGTTCGGCTACATTTCTGCATTAACACTGCAAGTTATTAAGGGATTTTTAATACAAAATAAATTTTGATTACATGCTTCGTTTATGTAAAACATCATAATTAATAAAATATCTAATAATAAAAAAATTTAGCTGTACAATTTACAATTAAATGCTTAATAATTGATTACACACCTGGTATGTTGCCGACAATGTCTGGCAACATAGTTTAAATAAATAATACTTGAATCACGCTGTTGTGATGAGGCTTGATGTATACATTTTTAGAAAAAATATCAAGAAAAAGCCAAAATAAATAAAAACAATTGTAAAAACTATAGTAACTTAAAAATTAAACGAAAAAATTAATAAAACACAATTGAACTATGACCATGGAGTGGACGCGTGAAAAGACATTGGCACTGATACAGGAATATCGGAAAAGACGCGGTCTCTGGGATATGACCCATGAGGATTATCGCAAGAAAGATGTAAAACAGAAACTACTAGTCGAGGTGTCCGAGACATTAGGCGGCAATATACCTATTATGGAAATTGAAAAGAAATTTCATACTTTGCGCACTCAGTATCACCGAGAAATAAATCGCATGAAAAGGAAAGAACCCTACAATTCAAAATGGTTCGGTTTTAAGTATTTACAATTTTTAAGTTCACCCAAAGCGTGTCGCTCCAATAAGGGACGCATTAAGGCCGAGATTACCGAAGACGGTACAGTAACGACCAAGTATATAATACGGGAGGCCATACAGCCTGGCCATGATACCAGTATGGGTTCAGGAAACGAAAATGAAGAGTTTCTGACGTTACCACGCAGAACTACAACAATTTCATATGAAGCGGTTCCAGCAAGTACGGCCACATCCACGGCTTCCAGTCGTTCACATGAATTGGAAAAGTTGATAGAGGAGACAACGAAAGATGTAGAGGAAATAGAAGATGCAAAACCAAAAATGACCATTAAAGAAATCAGTGTGCCCATGGACCATCATCAACAACATCATGCTGACTCGTACTCGGGAGGCGGCGAACTGCAGATAAGTAATGTTGAAAGTGAACATCAGGAGCTACATCATATTGAAGATGTAGATGGTAATATGGAGGCCATGGGTATGCAACATCAGGTGACTTCAGATGAAGAACTTAACTATCAAACTACAGCCTCAAATCATGGAGTTTCCTCTGCTGTATCTACCGTTAATGCTGGCCATACACAATCCTCTACTACAACAGTTCATACTATACCGGCACGTATAATAAAGATCCAAAGAAGAGATACCCATCACGACAACAATGATTATTATGAACAGCAGCAACATCATCACCATCATCATCAACATATGCAGCAGCAACACCAACATCAGCAACATCATATACAAACAGTATCACCTCCAGGAGGTGGTTCTAATGGTTCAACGACAACCAAACGTATTTATTACGATCCCACAACTCATCATACTACAACTATATTGACAGCTTCTCCCTCGCAACAGCAAACAGGAGTTTCCCTACTAAATGCCTCCGCGTCACCCTCCATAAACTCATCACCAACAAATTCTAAAGTTCATTTACGCAATAGTTTGGCCGTAGCTGCTGCGGCTGCTGCCTCATCGGGTATCAACTCTTCCAATAACCCATTGAACAATTCCGCCCTAAACTCATCAACCGCAGTCTCGTCTGCTCTGCGCGACGAATTCACTACGTATGGGGAATATGTTGCCAATGAAATGCGTGAAATAAAAAGTCGTGAAATTTTGCTAACGTTAAAGCATAAGATAAATACAGCTCTCTTTGAGGCCAATATGCAAGAATTACAAAAATAATTATACATAAATACATCAAAATCTTTAATTATTATATATACTTAGCGTTAATGTTGGATGCAATTAGTTTAGATGTTTAAGATAGAAAAATTTAAGATTTTTCTTTTTAATCTACGTTTTTAAGTTTTATCCCTTAACTTACACTACAACACTTCCTTAAAAGGCGGTACTATTTAGTAATAATAAACGATGTTTTTCCGATATAAAAAGAATAATGTCTATAATTTAGAAGCTATCAAGTTGGGGATGGACGAATAAATGGGAAAAAGGACTGCATTTATGTTTAATATAGAAAATGTTTTCAAAAGTTCTATAGATATATCTAATATAAAGTAAATTAATTGAAAAATTAAATTTTATTTATGTATGTTCATTTCGAAATAACCACTTCACATCTTTTGATTATCTTTTTTCGTAAAACTCCTGGGATCCTTCAACTGAGGTGTTGGTGCAAGTTTATTATCAATGCCATAAAAATTTCCATTTAATAATTTGCGTCTTACCACATAAGTTCTAGAAAAATGAAATCGCATTAAATAAGTTTACTCAGAATGTAATATTAACTTACTTCAGCGATTTTTTAAAGTCTACATATAAACGGATGCGTATGTAATTTTCCGGTACATTATCTAAGAATGTATTCCAACGACAGGCCAAATAATCATTCAAGCGCAACGATAAAGTATGATTTAAATGTTGAAATTGATCTTTGAATAATGGTAGGAGATCGTAATCCTTTTGTTCATATAACACTTCACGATTAAGGTTTGTTTGATCTAAACTTGTTTTCCCAAGTCCAGCTGTAAGGGTTTCAGTGGCCTTCTTTAGAGATTCTAATTCAATTGACTGAGGTAAATTTAGATTCGGTTCGCAAATCATTTTGAAAATTCTTAATATGTATAATTTTATTAAAATATTAAAAAATTAAAAGTCTGTTGTCTGAATACAATATACTGTAATACGGTATAAAATAATTTTTGGTAGTTACGTATATATCGGAGATTTGTATACATATGAAAGCTTATAAAGGATTTTATAAACAATTTTTAAAAGAGATCCTAATATATAATTTAGATCTTTTTTATTTATTAATACAAATTTATATTTTTGTTAGATTTATGTTTCATTCACATTTTAATTTTGGTTCGCAAATCATTTTGAAAATTCTTAAAATGTATAATTTTATTAAAATATTAAAAAATTAAAAGTCTGTTGTCTGAATACAATATACTGTAATACGGTATAAAATAATTTTTGGTAGTTACGTATATATCGAAGATTTGTATACATATGAAAGCTTATAAAGGATTTTACAAACAATTTTTAAAAGAGATCCTAATATATAATTTAGATCTTTTTTATTTATTAATACAAATTTTCTTTAAAGTGAAATTGTATAATCTTTATTTTAACGTTATATTTTAATCCATTAAAATTTTAATACTTTTCTTAAATTTTATATATTTTCTAATGAAAACGTAAATAATTTGTTCCCAAAAAATACATCACTGTCATAACTTCAATTCGCTTGGTGGTATTGCCATACCAAAAAGAAACCCGATTTAGTGGCAAGACAACCGTGCAAGTTATATGAATGTGGTGTGAAATATATAGCGGATAATTAACTAAAATTCGCATAAAAATATTGCTAAAAAATATAAAAATTTTGCATAAAACTCTAATTTAATGTCCATTAAACAAAGAACATGCTGAGTTTATATGGTAAAAAGTGATTAAGTGTATAAAAATTGCAAATGAAAAAATCTTCGTGTGCAATAGTCACATATGCATAATTAAGAGAAAAAAGGAAAAAAAGAAAAACGTCTACCCAATAAAACAACTGTGAATTTGTGCGATACTAGCGAAAAAATTTTAGTCACTTTTTATTCATACGGCAGTAAACACAAACAAAAAGTACACGCGTTTTCGCATATTAAATTGAGGTTAAGTTAATAGAAAGATAATCTAAGAAAATTGTGTTCTAAAAATGTAATAAAATTATGTATAAAGTGTTAATAATTCTTGTTGATAAAATATATTATTAAAACATAAACACATTAATCAATGTATGGAGAAAATGAAGTGTATCGCAAAGAATCTACAACAAAAGCCGAAACCCGTGTCATAAAAAAAGTTTTTTTTCCTTTCAAGTGCTGCGCTATTGTTCTTAGCACATACGGTTGCTCGTAAAGTTATTAAAATTCATACTACTACTACATATTGCAGCAACTCTGTTTTTGTTCATTTCTCTGTGTTTCTTTTTCTTCTTAAATGTCGCTCGTCGTTTTTTTTTTGTATAGTGAATTCGCCGTACAAAAATGTTGGTCTTCGTTCAAGTCGGTGTAAAAATGTGTGTAAATGAATTTCGTTGAAGTTTCGTTAGCACATCGTGAAAATTCTTGAAAAATTTTTTGGTGAATAATTAAAATTATAATCGTCTAAATTCATAAAATTTTAAGCAGTTTTATTAAAAAAGTGTTGGGCCTTAGAAGAGCTACAAATTTTCTACAAAATTATGTAAAAAAGATACCAAAAATACTTAAAAAATGTGAAAAATGAAAGGCTCTGAAACCTGATTTTTTTTTGTGTGATGTGAAGAAAAAATTTTTTTGACGTCGCCAATCTAGCATTATGATGAAATAAATTGTGGTTTTTATCAATAATTAAATGTTCAAGTGTTAATTTTTCACGAGAAAATGGAAAATTTAATAGTTTTATGAAAGAATTTAGTGAAAATCTTGGGGAAAATATAACGCCCTTTTAGCTAACACGCCCCTTCAATAAAGAAGAAAAAATACTTTTTTTTAGTTTCCTTTTAAGTTCGAGTTTCGTTGCACGTCTCTTTGTGTCGTTGTTCACCAGTCGTGAGTGAGTTTTAAAAGTGTTGTATGACGACCAAAAAACAGAAGAATTGTGTATGTGAGTTTTAGGTTCATTCCAAAATTTGTATGTATGTGAGGCTCTGGCCTGGCTCCCTTATTATTCATCAAATAATTTTCATTTCTAAAAATTCTTTCAATAGTTTAGCTGGCCATTGGTTAGTGTATAAATTGATTTGTTAATAATTTGGTTTTGGTATTTTTTTGCTGTACGGATTCTTGTACGCAAATCTATGCAATGTACCACAACGACAAACATATGTACATATATAGATAGATAGATGTACGTATAATATTTTTTAGTTATTTTTTAATTCCTTTAATTTACTTTAATTGAGTGCATACGACGTTTCTGTTGTTTTTCTTTTACATTTCGTTTATTCTTTTTGACAGCAATGCATTTTTATTAGGGGAAAATAGTAGTGCAAGCACACAAACAATGATATATACGTGTATATACATACGTATATATGTACGTACAATTGAATGTTCTTTTGTAGAGCATATTGTGTAACGGTGTGTGTTTGCGAGTGAGAGAGTGAGTGACTGTCTGACAGAAGAAATAAATATAAGAAAGGACAAAAGTCAATATACAGGGTTGCATAGTGCATATTCATTATTTTTTACAATAATAATCTTAATTGCCAAGTGGTTTCATGTAAAAAATAATAAAAGAAATAATATTTACCATAATCATGGAATAATTGTTAACCCCTTATTATTAGTAATGGTTTAAAATGCGGGCTCTATGTTTTCCATAGTTGAGTAATTATCATCCTTTATTAAAAACGATAATAAATAAATAAGAAATTTCCTAATTTAAAAAAAAAATATTAGAGAAATATCTAAATTTTTTCTTCAATTATTTACCAAATTTCGTCGATGCCGTTTCGGTCATAAAAATAAAATAATTTTAATTTTTTCGTAGAAATTTTGTGAAAAGAAAATAAGTCGAAAATAATAAAAGAAAAATACGAGAAAAGAAAGTAACCAACTATAACAACAATAACAAAAATAATACTGTGTGCAAAACGTATAGCAAAGAAAGAAATTAAAAAGAATAAAAAAATAAAATTTGTGCAAAAACAAAAGAAAAAAATTACGAAATTATAGAAAATGAATAAAGATGATCAAAATCAAAATTTGAATAAAGCAACGTCACGGACAAATTCAAAAAATTACAATACACCAGCAGCAACAGCAACAACATCAACAGTGGCAGCAGTAGAGTCTTCAAAACAACCTCAGAAAACAAACTCAAAAAATAAGAAAAATCATACCAATAGCAACAATAATAATAACAATAGTTTAAAATTGGCAGCAGCTACTACAGTAGCTGCCACAATTTCCACCATTGCAACTAATAATAATCAACAACCTCAAAATCCTGCTGCTGTTACTGGTAGCAGCAATAAAAAGTCCTCGAAACAGGGCAATGCCACAGCAGGACGTCAGAATAATTCCTCCGCCTCTGCCACCGCCTTCTCTGCTACATCATTATCTTCATCATCTGCCTCCACCTCCAACACCTCAGATACAACAACAATAACAACATCGTTATCAGCTATCGAAGATTTGGATAACGGTGCAAGCTGTATTGCAAGTGCTGCTCCTGCCACCAACTTGGCTAATTCGGCTAGGTTGAAAAATACTAATACGAGCAACAACAACAACAATACCAACACCAACCAAAATAACGCAAAAATTAAATTAAAAGTTAACAACAATAACAGTAACATCAACAATTCCTCCAACAATACTACTACCAACACCCCCCTAAATCAGGCCTCCACTTCTGCTTCAACCTCCGCAGTTTACACTGCCAATGGCAATAAAATGCCAAAAAATTCAGCAGCAGAAACAGCAACAACCACCGCTTCAACAACATTAGCCACAACAGTATCAATAGCATCTAACATGCCATCGTCAGTTGGTGGTAGTGGTGTAGATATTGATATGGCAGCCTTAAACACAGTTCCCCCACCATCGACGGCTGTTACGTCAACGGCCACTGGTACTGTGCCCACAATTACCTCAAGTAAATCGGCAACAAATGCAAGTGCTGGTGTTGGTGGTATATCTTCTGCGAAATCGAAGAAATCATCCTCAACAGCTGCCGCCGCTGCTGCTGCAGCGCTTGCTCTTCAACAGCAGGCTGCAGCCGTATCTTCGGGAAAATCAGCGTTATCATCTGCTTCTGCTAAATCTGGGTCATCTTCTAAAGATGCCCATTTAAAGTTCACCTCCGCATTACCGCTGTTGGTGGGTTCGGCGGCTGCTGCTGCTGCAGCGGCCAAAGGTGCCGGTGCCTCTTCCAGTGCTGGTGCACAAGCAGCCGCCGCTGCAGCTGCCGCCCTCAAACAAAAGCTAAAAAGTGCTGCTGCCGCATCATCGGTAGTAGCTGCAGCCGCTGCCAGTAATTCCCGCTCAAACTCAACGTCGACATCCTCAAATTCATCCTCACTTTCGTCATCCGTTGGAATTGTAAATGCAATTTCAAATGCCCTGCAAAACATCATTACCAGCGATAATTCCGATACGGATACGGAACTTTATCCGCCGCCGGTAACGGATCTATCAGAATCCGATGAGGAATCTGTTTCAGAGGTAAGTGAAAGAAGTTATTTAATATTATTCTTCCTGCCTTTTTCTTTTTTTTGTATCTTTCAACAAAGCTTTGTAAATTTTGAATTTAAGCTGAGATTTATTTAATTAATTTTTAAGTTGTTTTTTATATTTCTTTAAAATTTTATTAAATTGATTTGCAGACAGACTTTATTCAATGCCTATACAAAAATTTTAAATGAAACTGGACTTAACAAAAATTTGAACTTTGATTTTTACTAATAACAATTTATGGTGATATTGTTAGGAGAGGAGAATTTCTAACATTGCAGTAGGAAATTTTACTGAATATGTAATATTTTGAAATGTATTTTCAATTATAAAGAACTTGAGAAATCTTGGAAATAATTTATGAATTTTTAAGCTGATATTTTAATATATAATTAAATACTTTCATTGAGTTTCCAACTAAAAAAATGAATCTGAACCTGCATTTTTAAACAATACGACCATATAACAATAAATTTGATATCATACAGTCATTTAATCTTCTTGCAGTTTTTCTTGCCGGACTCTTTGTTTTTTCCTTTTTTATCTGAATATAAATTATTTATTGCTCTCTGTCCATGAATACATTTTTTATTTTCTATAAAAAGTCAAATTCTAAATCTAAACAACAATTATGCAAACAAATTCGTCTGCTATTTTATATTTCTATTTAAAATTTTAATTCTTTAAAAATGCTAAATTCTACCAATGAAAAATGAAAGCGTCCAACCGACCGATCCCTCTGCTTTATAATATGCACAGCACAATTGTTTGTTATTGCTGTTGTATCTTAAAACGGAAATCCAAATTGTATCTTTTAAATGAATTCCCATTATGTGTGTAAGTTGACTGGCAAGTTTCTCAGTGGCGCAGACACGTCGTTTCATTTAACAAACAAACCATACCGAACCGAATATTCAATGTTATTATTCATTTACACATCCCATCATCTATTTCTATGCAGCTTTCCATTACAGTTAGAATATAGTATTTTATTTATTATTAATTATTTTTTATCTACTTTTAGTTGCGCCTATAATTCATGTTAAAAACTTAACTTCTTTTTCATTCGGCAATTGATTTTTAATTAGTTTCAATATATGTATTTTGTTTCCTTTAGTAAATATTTTTTTAGTTTTTGCTTAATTTTTAATAAAATTATGAAAATCACATTTTTAAGTATGTATATTTTTCTGTGGCTGTATTTTTGTCTATATGTTTTCTTCTAAACTAAGTATTTACCTTAATAAATCTTTGTTGATTTTATTTATTATTGTACTTAGTTTAATACGCAAATAAAAATCTATTAAAATAGACAATTGTTGCAAAATGAAAACATATAAATGCTTATCACTTAATTTTGATAATAGTTTTATTTAACAAAAAAATGCATTAAATTGTTTTTTTTTTTAATTTCGAATTATTTTTCATCTTAAGCCAGCAGTTTAATGTGTTATTTTTATAGTTCAGAATATAATTTTTGATTTATGTATATATTTCGTAAATTATTTAAAAGAATTCTAGAATTTACCTCGATTACTTTTTATCATAATATTTTAATTTGTAATACATAATAACTTTTCTACCGATCTAGGTCGACTGTGGCCAGAGCTGTCGTTTAGTTGATAATCTTTGGTTGAGTTTAAACTAGGGTCGTTCCAAAGCGAGGATCATAGGATATCGGCAATAGATTTACATATAATGAATGTTTCTGTTTCAAAGTTTTATTCTACCTGAATTTTTTTGTTACTCCTTACATGTCTAGCTATTGGAATCTTTTGTCAGAAAAGATTTTGACTTAAACTACAATTTCAGTACAAGTTCCGGCGATATGTTCTTAAGGTTTAAGAATCTGTTATAAAATATGTAGCAGTTCAATGAACTTTTACTTATAAATAAGAAATATTACTAGAACTAAGGTAGATCTAGTTTAAATCTAACAACCAAAAGTATGCACTTTAAGGGCAAGCAAACTCCAAGGTCTTTAAGAAAGTAGCCTAAAGTAAATTTTAATAATGTCTATCCTTTCAAATGACAATTTATTATTATCATCATTTTAAATGAATAATTTCGTTAGGTACGGCACGGTATATGCGAGACTAGTAGGCATTGGTGCTGTTACTTACTTCATTCAGACCTCAGGTATGCCAGAACTACTCCATTTTTATTCGGCAGGTTTATACTGTAGACCTTGTACATTCAAAGCTATCGAATACGATGTTCGATCTCACAGATCGTATGTTCGTTTATCTCATATACATACATGTATGTTTTGTTCGAATTGATGGAATATCTGTGAACGTCGTTATAAGCTGTTGTATATGACGTATGATCTAACGGATCCTGTACATAACCTTGTGAACATGAGTGTACTGTCCGTATTATATTTCTTGTGTTCCTTGTTGTGTCAGCATTATATTGTGGTCCTTAACTTTAATGGCCATTTGAGGTCTGCAGAGGTTATTTGCCTGCAATACCTAACATTCCTTAGGATAGAAATTTGTCAGCTTTAAATATTTTTTGCATTCTTCATTCGTTGATATTTGCAGTATCCAAGGCATTCAAAAAGCCTCGAGTTTTTAAAGTTTAGGTGAGATTAATCATTAGCCTTATTTTTTAGATTATTTACCTTGATTTCTTGTCGTCCTATTATAACCCAGCAGTTCAAGGGAACCGTCCTAAACTAGCTATTTAATCTACCACTTACCTATGGTTTACCCGTAGCCACCCGACTATCAAAATTACTAACATATGGAGGAAGCCTAGGAGGAAGCCAATAATCAATCCTTAGAATAGTCAGATAACTAGTCGAAAGAAATCAATACATGACAATGAACCTTTTCGCTTAAACTTTTTTTAATAAATGTGATACCATAAATAAATTGTGGTACCATTCTTCAGTTTTAGTTGCAAATCAATTGAACTTTATTTTTGTACTTTTACAACAGATTTTGTTGTCTTTTGGCTGCAATATACTTAAGCAGGATCAAGATATTTGATCAATTACTGATATTATAGAAAATTTTAAATTAAATTCAAATAAAAACAAAATTCTCAACGTGTTTTAGAATAAGTCAGGTGGTTTAAGACTAATATAAAGAAAACACGTGATTAAAGTAAATCATTTTATCTGAACCAAAAACATGCACAATTTTTCAACATGACTTTAAGCTTGCGGCATTTTTACCTATAAAATAAATAAAGGTTTGGGACTCTGCTAAATACATAATAGAATTTTTTATCACACTTTCTTATAATCTTCCGTTCCCTTATCTATCTGTCTCTTTCAATAACACTCTCTTTATTTATACTTTTGAGAATGTTTTTTTTTGTTTATATCACTTGTAAAATATTGAAGGTTATTTTATAAGACAGATGTTTGTACAAGAAAAATTGTTTAAACAATATATGTCTATATACAATTAAATTAAAAAAACATACATACATACATGCTTACCTACATGCATATATTCATGAATTTTATAAAGAAGATGAACAAACAACAAACATCATCAAACAAACAAAAAAGAAAAAGTAAAAACATAAAAATACAAATATTGATAGACCGAACATAAAGCAATCAAACAACGTGTTTTCGTGTTATTCCAATTATTACTCTTCTTTTCGTTTATATTTTTTTCTGTGTTTTTCCTTCTTTTTAAAACAAAACAGCAAAAATACATTTTTTTTTGCTTACATTGTATGGTTTTTATATGGTATTTTTCTTTTGTGGTTCATACATTCTCAATGATGTTTTAACGATTTCAACGAGAACGACAATAGTGAAATAGAAGAAGAAAAATACACAAAAAATGGCAAAATATGTACTTGTACGAAAAAAAGATACAAAAGAGACTAAAACACAAAGGTATTTTACTCCAAAGCAGTCGTCATACTATACACAGAGATAACTAATTATGTTTATTATAAAAATATTTATAAAAAAAGTAAATTATATTAATATTGTGAGAGAGAGGCGGCCAACTATAACATTAGTTTAGTATTTAATTGTTTTTATAAAAAAAATTTTATGTTGTAAACATTTAAGCAAAAAACTCAGTATTGATATTTATAATTTATTGCAATAATTTCTAGAATAATTTAAAAGAAATCTCTTAATCATAGAGTAAGATAGTGTCTTATTATCGAATATTATTTTTTTTCTTTTTGGTAAGATATTTCAAATTCGACCAATATTTATTAAAATATGCCGACTCACTTATACAATAACTATCGTCAGGGTTGGCAAAGTTAATACATTTAAAGAATGGAATATTTTCCATGTATGAAATACAATGTATGTAGATATGTATATGTATGTATGTACTTAGGTATATTAGGAATATAGTATTATAGAATGCAGCATTATAAGCGGAGAACGGGATCATGATACATTGATATTTGAAGTGACAATTCATGTCGCTAGTCCAGCTATGTAGTCCAATGACTCTTTTAGTAGTAAAAATTTGTCATTGTTCAATTTGGATTTTCACCAGCAAGTGGAACAATACCATAACTTTGACAACCTGTTTACCTCATCAGCTCATGTCTCTGCAATTGCACACAGATTGTGATGTAGAAACGGGGTGAGGATAAAAAAACCTTCTTGGCAACATATGACACAATAAATAGTGTCTTCTGGCATTTCAGCAGGTGGTCAGAAAGATCCTTCGTGTATACGATGATCGAACTTCGTATATAGCAGTTTTGTACAACATTGATAGATGTGCCTTCAATAAGGCAGTTCCCTTTACCGCATGAATATCATACTTGGAGGTTGAAATATAAAAAAACTAGCCGCAAAAGTGAAGAGTTGCTCAGGGTTCAACGCCTATTGGTTTCGCTTCAATATGTGCAAAATCTGATCAGGCTCCTTATGATACTCTCACATATTCGGTTATCCATATCACCCAATTGACTTAACTCAATCGATTTATTGATTAAACCAGTAGAAGTAATGCAATTTCTAAAATGAGAAATGAGAGGAATTATTT